TTTTTCGGTTTATTAGTGACAAGCCGGTTACCATGGCTACGCATTATTTGGACACATTTTATTTACTTTAACATTGAAAAAACATCTAGCTCTTCCTTAAGAAACATACCATCTAGTTCATTTTATAACGCCGGTACGACCTGTTGAGCTATTGTAGTTATTAAATGATTAACTATTCCATCCTTGCTTATATCGGCTCCATTATCGCAGAAAAAATAAATTATAAATCATCGTGATCACAAAAAGGGGTGTCTGGAAAACCCGAATAGCGAATAGCGAATAGTCGCGAATAGCGAACAGCGAATAGTCCCGAATAGCGAATAGCGAATAGCACGAATAGTGCGAATAGTCTCAAATAAGGCGAATAGTGGCGAACAGTTTCGAATAGTGGCGAATAGTGGCAAATAGGGTACCCAGTATCTCGCAGTCAACCTCGCGGCAACGTAGGATGGGATTTTCCCGCTAAAAAGCACAGACGCTTATCAGAACAAAATGTGTTTCTAAACCTAATTTCTTCTGTTTTAACTGCTGCAAAAGCGTAAATACGTCTTTATTAGGTTATCCTTGTGTTTTCTGTTTTCTTAATGTCGGCAACGCTAAGACAAACTCAAAGGCAAACGGAATAAAAGACAAATAATATACAGGTTGTTTGGGTCAACCGTTGATGGTTTTTGAACTAAAATGAATGTCCTGAGATGACATAAGCGGAATATGGCATTTAATAAGTGTGCGTTAATGTCCTTAATGTTTAAAGCCTCTCAGCGGGGCGATATATGTTCTATTGATCCTTCCATTTTGTCGCTTGCTTCTTATTAATACTTTCTGTTGTTCCCTAGCATTTTGCGCCCAATTTTCCGTAATATATTGTTATAGATGCTTGCTTGCTTTTCCCCCAGGGGGTCCCTATTCCCCAGTTCCCTTCAAACATTTGCCCATCTTCCCTTGTTCCCGAAGCTTTTCCGCGCTTGTTCTCTCTTTTACTACATAAGTTGCTCAGTCCCCGAAAGTAAATTCAAAACTCTTAGCCATACTCTAGTTCAACGACCACCGAAAATCCTAGCAAATAAGATAATAATAATAATGAAAAAAACATTGACGACATGGTGCAGAGAAAATGTCTCGAGATAAGTACCTTTTACGTCTTTTATTTAATTTCTGTTGGTCCTCCCTTTCTCAGCAATTTTTTCTGTGATCCCCAAAACTGTTTCATGTTCCCTTGTTCCCTACAACTTTTTTCCTTTGTTCCCTTGTTCCCGAAAACCCCTGGGAGATCTTCATAAATAATCATATTCTCTTTTTCTCAAAACCCACGGGAGGCCCTCACACCTGGCTTCATTTTGTGGTTCTCAATTTTGTTCTGGTTAATACACGCATCCGACACGTTTGTTGTTTTTCTCTTTTGGTTCAAGCTACGATAAAGATGACGTCGATTGCTTTATTTCTTTTGATGGCAACAATATCTACAGCTTGTAAGTGAACATTTTATCTCATCCACTCCCGCAATTCAGTGGCCATAACAAATAGTGTGAAACTGAAGAACTCTCTTCCCTTTGCAAAATATAACTGAGCATTTATTTACCACCACGTGAGGTCATCGAACTATTTTAAGTTAACTTATCACTATCAACCCAAACAAGTGCCTTAAGTTGGTGTTTAAGGTAAAGCCGTGATATTCTCCGAGCTACGTTTTTACCTCTCCAGTATATGCATACCAAGCAGGTAAATAAGACCCGCTACGTTTCATTACCATTGCTTAAATATTATTGAGGGTACAGGTGGCTGGATTCTGCCTAATCGTATCGTAGAAGATCGAAAACAACCCTTGTCTGGATATGGTTAAGTAATGAATATCATTGCGAAGTTTATCAGAAAAAATGAAAAAGGGAAAAAGTTATTGATTTCGCGCAGTTTTGCAATTACAACTAAACTAAATTTCTCAGTGAAGATAAAGTTGCAGACACTCGCCTTTTATTGTATTTTAACAACATGATATGTCTAAGCTGGATTCACCGTTGTTATGAATGCTACTCTTTTTGAATTAAAACTGAAGAATGCTAGGTAGAAATCTATACATATTTTTGAAAAAAAAAAAAAAAATTTCACGCACTCACGGTACTATGATGACCAGGTATGGTACCGTGACCATGTTCCGGGAGATGAGGAAAATCTGCTCGCTCTCGACCTATTCGTACTCCCATTTTTGATGTAAAAAACGAAAACATTTGCACAAGAAAAAGCTACACAACTACTATTTTTTTCTGTTTTCTAGCTTTGGATTGCCCTACTGAATGGGATGAGTTTGACGATTCCTGCTACAAAGTGATGACCAGCTTCGTACATTCACAGAGGCTTAACTGGGACCATGCTCGTGCAGTGTGTTTAGGATATGGAGGAGACCTTGTCAGTATAGAGAATAAAAGGGAAGAAGAATTCATAAAGTCTCTCTCCTCTGATTTTAAGAATGACTTGTTGTGGATTGGTTTGAATGACCGAGTTAACGAAGGTCAGTTCGTCTGGAGCGATGGGACATATTTTAACAGTTCTGTTTACAGTAAGTGGAAGAATGGCGAACCGAGTCACACTGGAAATCAAGACTGTGTTGGACTTCGAAATAATTTATGGAACGACCAACCTTGCTCCTGGGTTCGTTTCTATATCTGCGAGAGACCTAAAGGTGGGAGCATTTCTAGCTGTGGTTCCTAGAGTTTTATCACCGGCGACTGTCAATCAGATTTAATAGGCATAAAATGGGGGAAGATTAAGGGTTCATTATTTTACGGTGGCCTGCAACTGTCACATCAAATTAAAATTAGTCACATCTAATTAAAGTTACTCACATCAAATTAAAATTACTCACATTAAATTAAATTACTCACATCAAATTAAAGTTACTCGCATCAAATTAAAATTACTCACATCAATTAAAATTACTCACATTAAATTAAAATTACTCACATCAAATTAAAGTTACTCACATCAAATTAAAATTACATCAGATTAAAATTACTCACATTAAATTAAAAGTACTCACATCAAATTAAAGTTTACTCACATCAAAAAAAATTACTCACATCAAATTAAAATTACTCACATTAAATTAAAATTACTAACATCAAATTACTTACATCTCACACAAATCGCTAGCATCAAATTGACATCGCTCACATCAAATACAAATCATCACATCAAATACAAATCGTCGCATTAAATACAAATCGTCACATTAAATTCAAATCAACATCGCTCCTCCAATTACTGTGAGACATTTTGCCAGAATATTTCAGATCAATGAACTACTATGGAGTCAAAGAACCATCGCACAAAATGTAAAGTGGAAGACCGGGTAAACGCTGGGGATAGTATTCATTGACTTAGCCGCTGATCAATTGATGTGACGATTTGTATTTAATGTGAAGATTTGTGTCTGATGCGAGCTATTTGTATTTGTGAGCGATGTCAAATTTGATGCTAGCGAATTGTATTTGATGTTATCGATGTCAATTTGATGCGAGCGATTTGTGTGTGATGTGAGTAATTTTAATTTGATGCGAGTACTTTTAATTTGATGTGAGTAATTTTAATTTGCTGTGATTAATTTTAATTTGATGTGAGTATTTTTAATTTGATGTGAGTAATTTTAATTTGCTGTGATTAATTTTAATTTGATGTGAGCAATTTTAATCGGATGTCAGTAATGTTAATTTGAGTGAGTAATTTTAAATTGATGTGAGTAACTTTAATTTGATGTGAGTAATTTTAATTTAATGTGAGCAATTTTAATTAGATGTGCGTAATTTTAATTTGACGTGACAGTTGTAGGTCACCGATTTACAAAGTGCACTTCACAGTTGCGTCATCTTTTTTATTATGAAAACCTAGCAAAAAAGCCTAAGTTAATTCTTGATTTAGGTAAACCTGCCTGTCCTGATGGATGGTTTCTGAATGGCTTTTCATGCTACAAAGCAATTGAACAGGCAAAATCATGGAGTAATGCAAAACAGGATTGCCATGCATCTGGAGGCTATCTGATGAAGATAGATGACGCATCGGAGCAAGACTTTCTAGAAGTCTACTTGATTATAACCGGTATTAACCAAGCAGCCAAAGTGAGTATGCAAATGAACCGAAACGTAAATGCATTGAACGCTACTGATGTCCCGTCCACACTACGCCGGGGGAATTTTAAAACGGAGGTTTCACTCTGAAAACGCATGGAATGTTCTTCGTCCACACTGTGCCGGAGGAATTTCAAAACGCAACAATTTGATGAATTTTAGGATGACGAAAACTCGGCCAGGGAGATAAGATAATTATCCTGACTCGATCTTTTTCGAAAAGCTCCGTTTTCAAACGGTCATACTGAAACGCAAAGTGGGCGTTTTCAAACTCTTCAGGTTTGAAGAGCGTTTTCGAAAAGCTCCGTTTTCGTGACGGATTAGTGTGGACAGTAGGCCTAACCATAAAAATAAATTTCTCCGACATAGTGTGGACGGGGCATGACATGATGGTATTTAATAAGAAGCTCATGAACACAATAGAAAGAACATCGGAAATGAAATGCTGTTCTAAATTGAATAACGCAACTATATTGTTGTGTTAAGATAGTACTGTAGATATAATTAAGGTGGCTGAAGAAATATTCTGCGCAGCGAGTGGTATTGCTCAGAAATGTAAAAAATAATACGGAAAAGGGAAGAGGGAGGTATTAGTCGACTTCCATTGACATTAAAACAAAGCGCACGCCCATTACCAACTTTATCTAACAGGTAAAATATATATCATATCACGGGACAGTCCGTGGTGTTTTATATAGAATAAACAGTCACCAAATCAGAACTGCTTTCCGGGATCACGGTAAAGTCGCTATTTTGTTTGGATATGGAATAGAAATAAATCGTTGTAAGTTGTTCTTTCCCAGCCATTACCCCCAGGGGGTCATGGCATGGAGCGTAGTTGCCCTTTCTTCGGTAAATTTGTGAATATCGCCTCTTTTAATTAACATTGGTCACCTTGTGGTTCTCTTGTTGTGAGGTAAACATCACTTTACTCTTTAAAAGAGTTCGCTTCTGAAAAACAAATCAATAAACTATGCTTTGCTATTCAGTTATTTAGTGAATGTTATTCTCCATGATAGTACGTGTGGACAGGACTGAATGACATCGAACATGAAGGAATCTTTACATGGGAAGTGGATGACAGTAACTTCGAATTCTCCAAGTGGGGATCGGAACAGCCTGACAACTACCATAACCAGGACTGTGTGAGAGTGGGGGCTATTCAAATGTTTGGTTTGTGGGATGACTTTCAGTGTGATAAGTCACATCTCTATATGTGTGAAAAACCAGCCAATGGTACGCGTAAAGATATTTTGAGTTATAATCCATCGACTGTTTTCGCTTGCTTGCGATTCGTCTAAATGCTTCACGTGACTGCGTCACTGCTGTAATTAAAACTGGGGAATATCACTTGGATATTCCCCAGTTTTCAAAACTGCTCGTGTTTCGAAAAATATTTGAAGGATAATAAACACAATAGCCTCCATTTAGCGCGAGATATGCTCTGATATTTGTCCTTAAATATTATCTATCCTTCGTGGCTTACAGGTTTCCTCGAGCTAAGCTTTCAGATAATGTCCGCGTACAGTACTATTCCGAGCATATTTTCGCGCCAAATGAAGGTTATTTTTTATTTATTTTCACCAGGTACAAAATTACCTTTAAACTGAAGGAAAACTGAAGATTGACACGGATTGCAGACGACGAAGTTCAAAATTTTTGTTTTGTTTTCGCTTTCATCGACAAACTGTATCTTCACGCTGTCCGCCATTATTTTGCTTTCACTAAGAACATCAGATCGAGGTTGGCCTTAATGCGGACGTCTCGGAAAACAGACTTCCGTGCGAGAACCCATCTATAAATAACTTTAGTGGAATTGACATATCCCAAGGCCTGGACTAGGAGCCTCCCTCTTTGCCTCCTCATCTTCTCTTGTTTCAATAAATCATTTATCGTAATGTAGGAATGAGAAAAAAAAAGTCCAGTGAATGAGTTACTGGTGGAAAACGAGGATCATCATCTCATGTGTTAGGTCTGTTGTTTCTTTTGCCTCTTGATGTCAATCCTTAAAATTGCTATGACAAGGGGAAAAGTAAAAAAGTGTGTCCTTTTTAAAGCGTATCTCAAAAATTGCGAAAAGTATAGAGCACTTGCATATTTTCATCGCTGATAAACAATTTGGCTTGAGAAAACAAGCGTGATATCTCCTAAATTCTGGTCAAGGAAGCAAAAAATGCATGGAATAATCGTGACGCTTTTAAAACCGAGTAATCGAAAATTTAGAAATCCATTGTAATTTGTAATTAGTGGAAGCTGCGTTGCTAACGTTGGAAAGTTAAAGATTGATAACCTCGCAATAACGAAAACGATTGTTTTTATCTTGTCAGGCCTCTCCTGTTATCGATGTTCAAGCAATATGTCATTTGCCGACTGTACAACGAAGCAAGAGATAGTCAATTGCACATTTCCCCGGAATTACTGTTTCAAACAAAAGAATTCAACAGGAGACAAGAACGATCAAGAATCCGCTTTCTACAAAGGATGCACTTCAGCAGATCAATGCAGACAAAAGGAGAAGAGTTCTATGGAATGTTGTGTGGATACACTTTGCAATACGGGTAAGTTTAACATCTGATTAAGAGCGTGTTAAACCTATTCAGATCAGGATTTGTTTGGTCTTCCTGGCTCCGGGTTAGGAGGGGGGGGGGNAGGACTTACAGTTCGTCCAAACATAGTTGTTTTGAGGTCCCTAGCACGGAACTATGACTTCATATGGCGCAGAAATAACTTCATAATTTCCAAACAACCGCGAATTTTAATTTTGTAGACTGCTGAATGTTAATATAAAACTCTTTTCGCAGACATCTCCTGTTATCAGTGTTCGAGCAACATATCATTTGCAGACTGTGCTAAGAACCAAACAAGAGTGAACTGCACATTACCAAAGAACCGCTGTGTTAAAGCAACATACACTTCAAAGGACGACAATGGAACTGTAACATACCATAAAGGATGCACCACAACTGACCAGTGCTCAGAAACAGCCAAGAAATCATTTGTGGAATGTTGCAGCCATGACATGTGTAACAAAGGCAATTTTGCTGACGTATTTTTTTTTTCTCTGCTACTTAGGCAGCTTTAAGTGCATAATACGAGTAGTTTTGTTAAGGCGGGGGGAACACATAAAAACACACCATTTTTTCAAACTTTTCTCATGGCTAAGATTTCATTCTAAATCATGGCAAAGTATACATTTTTAAAAAGTTAAAGACCAAAACTTGTGAAAAACATTTTTTTGTGCCCTAGAACAATGGGAGGCGCGGCGGCCTCATGGTTAATGCGCTCGATGCCGGAGCGAACCGTCCGGGTTCGATCCCTGGCCGGGGACATTGTGTTGTGTTCTTGGGCAAGACACTTTGCTCTCACAGTGCCTCTCTACACCCAGGTGTATAAATGAATTTCAGGCTGGGGCATGCCCTGCGATGGACTAGCATCCCATCCAGGGGGGAGTAGAAATACTCCTAGTCGCTTCATGCTACTGAAACCGGGATAAGCTCCGACCTGATGAGCCA